TGTGTGTGTGTGTGTGAGAACAGTTCATTGAAGCATTAAAGCACAGGCCTTTGTCAGATGGTATATTACGCTGTTTTTTTTCTGCTTTGAATAGTTCTCTCTTTTTTCACCATACCTGTGTTTGCATCACTGTAACCAATGAGCACCTGCATGTGTATGAGAATAGCCCCGACACCATTTCAGCCCAGATTTACAAACTCCTGGCAGGACAAGCTCAAGCTCACTTCTCGCACTGAATTTAAAAAAAGTGAGTGAGGAACTGCAATATAAGAGGGACAGAAAGAGAAACTTTAAAACTGTTCCATTGTTATGATGTGTAAAGACTGATATTGTTCTATAATCGTCCGAAACTGTTAAGTCAGATGTAAAACGGTAAACAAAGAAAAAGGGAAACTCAAGCTGCTGCTACACTTTATTTTATTTATCTAAAATTAAGCACTTTTAAGATGCACATATTTTCAAAAGCTATTTTATTTATTTTCTCTATTTTATTTGTAAATGCAGCCCGAGAGGAAGATTACACATATCCACAGTACTTACTGTATATCTGTATAGTTCGATGTTAATTGACAATAAATATTGTTGTTTATGAATTGTACTTTCTTTATTTGATTGGCAGCCAGTTGTTGTTTACATGCAGACGTTGATAAAGCTACAGCTACTTCAATATATATCACACTAATTCATAAAGCAATTTAGACATTTTGATGTTCCGGACCTTTGCATGGGGACATTTTTCTAACTGGACCTCGTTGAATTTTAGTTGAATACCCCTGACCTAAACTCTCCACCAGCACTCTTTACATGCATGCAGATGCAGCTGACTACACCTAATGCAAGTTCTAGGTGTATTCGCTGGAGGCTAGTAGGAAGGTTTTTTTTTTAAATCTCAGACATCAACAGTGGGATCAGTGTCTGTGCTTGCCTTCTATGGCTGGATCAAGGAAAGGGGCCATGAGGAGAGTAGCTAATTGGTAGTGAAATGAACGGTTCATAATGTGTCACGGCGTGTGTGAGAGTGCATGTATGATCCTGTGCATACTCTCTATGCAGGCATATGTGTGACTGAGGAAACAGACACAGCTACAGTGAATAATTCAATAAATGTGACCTTAACAGTTAAAAAGTTCCCAAGAAATATTTCTGAACTCAAGAATTACACAATTTACATGTACACCAACAGCACTGTAGACAAACATATTAAGGTAGCAGTTGAGTCACAGTGTTTAAATTAATCTTAAGAGAGGTCTTTGTATTGGCTCCTAGCTTCCTCCACATGGTTTTTTATGGATACGTGAACGTGTCAATGCAGCATGTAGTGTGCTTGAATATATACATTTCACTGTGTGGATATAGTATATTTGACATAGATGTGTAATGAAAGGTAGGGTCTAGCTACCTATTGTGTTTATGATGTTAGTGTCCAGCACACACAAACACAAAAAGATGCTGCAGTGTTTTTTGGTCTGATATCTGTCACCAGAAATCTGTCATCAGTCGTCAGAAATGTTTGACCCCATCCCCCGATTCTAGGGGGTAATTATGAAGTTGTTTGTGGTACTAAACGCATCAAACATAAATAGCCTTACCCCTCTGCTGTCATCAATTTTCATAGGGACTTTTTACTGGCAGAAAATAATGTAAATAACTGTTTATAAAGAGGTCTGTGGATTTTTCTTAAATTTGTTTAATAACCATTTTTGAGGATTTGATGTCTTATTTCACAAAATTCAAGTAATCGTTATTTTTCTGGGGTTATGGTTAAAGACAAAAAAACGTATGGCCAAATTTCATTTAGGGTAAGTTACAAAATAATAACTTTCCCTTTAATTAAAGGATAAAATACCTATGATGATTGTAAGTGAACCAGTAACATAAATCCAAGCTGTTACAAAGATACATTTCGACGATATGAAAGTGTTGTCAATAAGACGGAGACACATTTATACATATTCTATATCCAATACCTCCAGTGGATGAAATGTATTATTGTGGAGTCTTTATTTAATATGAGTGGGGCTTAATTTCAGCAGGATTTAATCATAATAATGAAAGACAGTCAAAGAGGACCTTTTGTTCTCTCTAAACCCACCACACACACACACCACCACACAACACACACACACACACACACACACACACACACACACACACACACAGTCAGTCTTGGGGTAATCACAGAGATAGACGTACACGCACATCTTTGTTGACGTCACGTTGCCTGGCAACATCCCAGCATGCTTGGCTGTAACAAGCTGAGGTCTCAGCCCTGAAGCGCAATGCATCATGGGGAATTGTGTGTGCCGTGTCTTACATCACCCACAATCCCCCTTGCTGATGCAGCCGCAGTCAAGAAGACGGTGGGAATGTTCTGTGCGGCTGATCCTGGAGCAGTCTCTTAGCATGTGAGGTTAAGAAAGGGGGGATTTATCCTCCTACACACACAGCTGCAATTATGTCCATCTCTGCCTTTGCTGCATCTCTTGAAATGTAATTATTAGTCACTTTAAGACTCGATATACAGCATATTATGCAGTGCACATCTGGGGCATTCATTTTCAGCCCCCCCCCGATCAGACCCCTGACCGCTTTTCTGTAGGTGAGGCTCATTACGCTCATCTGAGAATGTGGAATTAAACCTCCTCCTCCGAACTCATTACTGTGAGCTAGATTTCACCGGCTGCAGATAGGCAATGCGGTGGTGCTGCTTTTAAAGCCAGAGCCAGATAATTAGAAACTTTAGAAGCGCATTTCCCATGGCTACAGCCAGAGTGAACAACTAATTCTATTTGAACTAATTACGTTCCATAGCGCTACGTTCGGGCTATTTAATACGCCAGAGGATTTCATCACGGAGCAGGAACAGGGATGTATTTCTGTGCGTGACTGACTGTACGTCATTACTCTCTATGCACAGCTTGTCTCCACATACACACCCCCACTCACTCCCAATTGTGTGTATTTCATGCTGCGAAAGCCCTGAGCCTCCTCAATAATGCTCGTTCTGAGAGTTTGTTGACATCATCAAAATGCGTCAGATGAGGTTTAGATCTGCAGTCTGGGTAACGAAGTCTCAGTAAAGACTTCAGAGCACAGCGTGGCCAGACAGACAAAATTATTGGAATTGAATAGAGTCAATTACAGCTTTAAATATTTGAACTTATTTGGCAGATGATGTCATCATTGTTTAATTTGTTTTGGTATAGTGATAAAGGTAGGCATGAGTGGTCCTGGCTTCAGCCTATGTTTAGTTATTGCTGTGAATTTGTTACATATTTTGTAGCTTTTTAAGCCGTCTATTTCTCTATTGAAAATTTAAAATAAAGTTAAACTTCTTTTATTTATTTATTTTTGCTTGTGTTGATTTTGAGTGTACAGGCTATATGCGTTCATAAAAATCATAACTAAAATAGTATAAACAAACATAAAATAAATACAGTAATAAAAGATATATATATCATTTTGACTCTTCTTCATATTCCATATAAAAAAACATATTAAAGGTGAGAAACTCTTTTATGAATAAAAACATGAGCATTCCACACACATTTGGAGAATATTCTAAGACAATGTAGGAAGTTTAGCTGTCAGTCCATCTGTGTTTCCCTCTCTTTCTTTGTGAACTTGCTATGTGTGGAAGCTCGCTCGCCCCAATAAGAGGTGTCCAGACTAGCAGGCCAGGCTGACTAAATATAGCAGGCACTGACAGCGGGGGACACTCCCCCGTCTCTCACTGTTGCTCTCAGCATTGCTGTTTCACTACACACTGATGGAGCTAGATTTGTCAGACGGAAGGAGTTTGTGATCTGCCAGAAATGAGGGACACACATATCCGAGTCCACACACACATATAGTACACACAGATTAATACACATACATACATTCCCTGTATTTCTCCCTCCAACACATCTTCCAGTCCAAATGGGATTTACTTAAGACTCAATAAAGCAGACAGAAGCGCTATTGTCTCCAACACAGGCCTATTGTATTGCACAGAGAGACTGTGACGTGGGTCGGTGTGTGTGTGTGTGTGTGTGTGTGTGTGTGTGTGTGTGTGTGTGTGTGTGTGTCTGTGTTGGCTACACAGAAAGCATTCCACTACACACAAACAAACAGACATGCATACACAAACAAAACAAACCAACAAACAAACAAGCACACTAATACAGTTCAGAAGCAAATGAATATATATTAAAGCACCTAGTCCAAGAAGAATGGACATGCTTACTTCCATACCACTATCCCATCCCCCCACCAAACACACACTCACACACACACAGCATCAAACCCATCCCGCTCCAGTGGGAGTCTGAGGGGAATCTGAGTGATGAACAGGAGTGACACCACCACATGCCGGCGCGTGAGAGATGTGCTGCCTGGAATTTTAGGCCGGATCTCAAATTGAACATGCCAAGCCTTGAGGGGGAAAACCACTGGAGAATGTTCCATCACGAGAAGCGAATGTCCCGCAGCAATATCGCTAATAATACCAGATACAAATGATCTGGTTCAGCACCACAGGGGGGAGGGGGCTCATTCATGAATTTCACGAAAACGTTTGTTAACATACCTGCTGTTGAGGGTACTGCATCCCGGCCATGCCCATTTGAGGCCTCCCCTGCATGCTCATTGGATATCTGTGCGGGGGAGGCGATGTGTATGGCTGGTTTGGAGGGTAAGGCCCGCCCCCTTGCTGTTGGCTGGAGTAGGCATTGTTGGCCATGCTGTACAGCTGCGAGCGCTTCATAGCCATGAAGTCCATGGAGGACACCTGTAGCGGAGAAAAGAGGGATTCATGATATGCTATTCTTATTGGATAATAATTTACATTCATTCCCGACGATGCTTCGTGATTGGTTAATAATTCATCTAGAGTCTGCCAAGTTGGACACAAGTCCACTTAGCGCACGCACTACAAACCACAGCCGCCATTGATTTATCTTATAACAGTACAGCGAGCAAAAGCCTTAAATTAAAGTGTACAGGTCATAAATGAACTACAAATGGAATTAAGTAAGCAAAGATGTTTATTGCGTAACGCTATCAGGAGCTAAGTTTGCTGGAGTAAGGCCAAAATATAATGATTTAATTAAAACCTACAGCTTGTATCTTTGTTTTAATGTCTGAAAGGCTTTTTAAAAGTGTTGTAAATGTTGTTTAAAGCGATGGGAAGCCAGAGCAATAAAAACTCTATGGCCTTGTTCCCACAACCACAGCCCAGCCGTGCCAGTAATCGCCGCGCAGCGATCGCTCGCTTGTTTGCATGTTGTTGCTAACTGCTCACTGGCAGGAATACTGATAATTACATTAGTGTTCATGCTCTTCTGAATTCAAATAAGAAAAACACTTAAGTGTTGAGAGTATCGCAGGGGTTCAAACTGTGCATTACAATGGTGACGAGGCATTTGGAGTTTGAATCCCAGGAGGGAACTCAAGGCAGCGAAGCAGTCAAAGTACACGAAGTTCGGAACTAGCTTCTTATATGAACACAAAAAACAATCGAAGAGAAGAAAGAGAAGGTGTCATGGGCGATTTATCCCATTGTAAGTATTTCAGAGTCTTTTTAAGAGGTTGTTTTGGGTCTCAGTGAGCCATCTGAAAATTCCAGTACAGTGCGTCCGGCTAATGATAATCCGTCACCCGTAGCGACGTGTTTGTCTGTGTGCCGGGGCAGATAATGTGGACTTCTTCTTCTTCTTCTATCTCTCCTCTCATGCTTTCTCCCTTTTGTCTCCGCCGTGTAGGATCATGTGTGATTTATGACATTTTGTTCCTACTGTTTCTTACACACACACACACACACACCCACACACACACACACACACACACACACACACACACACACACACACACACACACACACACTTTCACGTCTCCTCTCATCTCTAACTAACCCCCACCCCCCTCCTGCTCCTCCTCCTCCTCTTCCACCACCAGCTCCCTCCTCAGTTCCCTCTCCTCTTCCCAACTCAATATCACCTTGTCTAGCGCAGAGGAGAAATTGCCGCTGCCTCATATTGCCGGGCTAATATCAAGCAGACATGTCAGGGGATGGGAGCACTTTATTCAGCGGGTTACGTGCGGACGGTTACGCCGCTCTAGCTTTAGAGTGGTTTTGTCTACTGGGGCATGTGTGTGGAGTACATTGGACTATTTCACAGAGTGCAAAGGAGAAATAGAGAGAGGGGTCGCAAAAGAAAACCAGAGCACGTGCAAGAGAGATAGAAATGAGTACTCTGGGGTGTCTAAAAGTTCTTCAACAGCATGGAGGAGAACGGGGGGTTATCCTGCAAAGGTCTGCATCACCAGGATGTTGAGAGCCTAATCCTAAGAAAGATAGAAAACATTTGCTATGTCTGTGTGTAATGCATTTTTTGAAGTCCACTTCCTGTTCGGTACTCTTTACTTACCTCCCCCCCTTCATATTTGAAACTGCTAATAAGCATCCTGTTGCTAAAGTCAAAGAGTGCACAAGCAGCTCTGACATTAAAATGAAATATTTAAGCTCTGGACAAATTTGACACCTAATGACAGAATGATTGCCAGAGATTGCCACATTAGGGAATAATTACAGTTATCAGCCAATGTAGTGTAAAACCCGTAAAAAAGAGAATGTTTTCGGAAGAAAATTATGAATATCCTTTTTGAAATAATGATGGATATACTTCCATTTCTAATCCTTGATTGATATTATTTTTCTTGGCTACTTATTGCTCAGGATAACAATGAAGATCCTGACTGAACTGGAACTAGAGTGACCTAATAACTTCATTTTGTCAGCAACTAAAATAGATGAAGTCCTCAACAGCGTCTGAACTAAGAATTGCAAATAGTCAAACCTGAATATCAAAGGAATAGTATTTTTGGATGGGCTAAATTTGACTCTGGTTATGTGCTTTTAATGTAGCAATAATGGTGTTTCCTCTAGAGCAATGGGCACCACATGATCTGCTCAAATGTTTGTACACTCACAAGGTCGCCCCACACACACACACAGGTCCACTAAGCAATAAAAAGCAAAAGGGCGACACTCTCCAGTTTCTAAATATCCAGGGCACTGTGCCACACATGATACGGGACACACACCCACCCCGGCTCCATCCAGTTCACCAATCCATCTCGAGAGGTCCTCCGTTTGCCAAAACTGCTGAGCGCTACACAAGTAAATCCCCTCACATTGCTGCCAAGTGTAAACGCAAAATAAAATACAAAAAACTGCTGCACTTAGAAAGGCACTGGACACAGAAAACAGCTTCAGAGTTTTGGGATTGCACAAGTGGACGCTCCATTAAACACACACACACACACACACAGGCACAAAAAAGTGTATTAGTAGAATCTTGCAGCGGCTCTCACTGTTGATCCCTCTCATCTCTCTCCCACTCTCTCCCGCACTTGTGGGAAATTCTTAAATAAAACGGCCTCAATAAAATGATACAGAGCTCCATCTTCCACACATGGCATTATCCACACCTGTCCACGGAATCAAAAAAACGATTCTCCGCGTCCCCAAACAGAGCCTCATATCTACTCTCATGACAAGTTCAAGTAAATGAGATTTCAGCCCACTGCCGCCTTTTCCTAGAGATATGCCCACCGTTTCCCTCACAACCCCAGGCATAAAGAAAAAAGCCCCGACAACAATTCTTCATAAAATTGAAACATTATTTTGTTCCCCTCCTCAGAGAAATGGCTGTACTTAGGAAAAAAAATTAGGAATATGACACAAAGTGAATCGTGTTTGCGCCGGGAGGGACAGCAGATAAAGAACTTGAGGGAATACAGAGAAATTGTTTTTTATTTTCTTCAAAATGTGTTTTTCACTTTTGTTCATCTGGGCATGCCATTCAATGGAGGAAGGGGAGGAGGCAAGGGAGACAATAGTAATTCAACTGCTGAATTTAAAATTCAATTTATGAACTCCTCTCCAGTTTTCTGACTCTCGTGAGGTTTTTTTTCTCTTTTTTTTGCAAAACGAAGCCATTAAAACAGAACATGGGTGAAATTACTGTGGGGTGAAACCTGCTAAATTGCTTTTCTGAGCTCAATCGACAACATTTTTATGTTGCAAAAAAATGATTGTATTCCTTCTCTCTTTAATGTTCTAAGTTGCTAATCAGAAAGAGACAAAATGCTCGACACAAAAGGCTCGGCGATGTGGATTATAAGACACACACTGGGATCAAACAGACATAAAACAATATTGGTAAATGGCTATTATTCCAAATTCATTTTGAAATGCGCAAATTGTTTCGCAAAAAAAATAAAAATATTTTTGATTTATCAGTCGTGGGGAATGAAAGTGCTTCCAGACGAGGCTGGCGCGCAGAAACACACACTCACTTACACACTTTGTCCCTGTGGCTATTGCTGCCCTCGTCCTTCACACCAGGTGCCCGAATCATCACCTGTCTGCACCAGGCCTTCACTCCGGTTATTTACCACACACACACACACACACACACACACACACACACACACACACACACACACACAGACACACACACACACACACACACACACACACACACACACACACACACACACACACACACACACAACAGTGACTGGGACAGGCTCACACACACGTATAGCAACTGTATTCACTGCACCTGTTTACATGTTTCCACTAAAATCCTCAGTTTGTTTTTTCCCTGCAATAAAAATGATGAACAACCTGCTTTGTTGAGAGACGGCAACTTCTACATAAATAGTTGAACCTCCAAATAGCAATTCAACCATTATGATCCGTTATATCACCTTGTGGTTTAATTCTGTTAGAGCAGACTTGGGTAGGCAACAGTTCCTATGAAATCCCAAAGAACCAGCAGCTGCAGTGAGTATTGGCGCTCTAAAGCTCCCTGTACTTAGCTTCAGTCTACAAATATAGCAGGATTCATATTTTTCAGCCATTATATTATAAAAACCAATTCAGCAATCACATTGTGCAAATTACTGCCATGTGAAAATGGTTCTGAATATCACCATCGAAAAACGCATCAAGCCTGATTGTGTATGAAAATTAGCCCCAAGATGCCTTTTGGGTATTGATTATCTTGTGTTTTTCTTGTAGGAGCTACTGCTGAACGCCGGCTTTTTATACCTGTGTAATGAAAGCGTTTGAGCCTGTGTGTATTTGTGAGGAGAAACAAATAAGGATAATTATTGTCAATGGATCCTCTTTATCCTCTGCGCCGCGTCTGTCTCAGGAGAATCAACATGCTGCAGCCAGAGCCGGTCGGTCTGCTGGGACAATCAGCCTTGTCTTTTATGTGTTTTATTTATACCACGCAGCAGAGCACTCTCCCATTCCTATTACACTATGGGGCCCCAGCGACGCCCCGGCCTTCAGAACAAACCTCTGCATTTCAGGCTGTCTATTTGGGCCCTACTGTTTCAAACAGAGGAGAAATAGAATGGGATGAAAAGGAGAAAAAGATAGGAGAGGGGGGGAGAGAGAAAGAGGAGACTGCAGCAGTGGGCGAGTACAGATCGAGTTCCATATTAATGTGTGCAAATTCCCCCGCTCCTGCTGACTAAGATTAGAAAAATTAATTTCATGGATGCAGAGACAATACTGATGTCATCAAGCGGAGAGGAGAGGAGCTGTTAACTCCTCACTGCCCGGGCCTCAGGGAGGAATAGATCACTCTTTAGTATGGGTCCATCACTTCATTTAACTTAACCAACACCACACAACACTTAGCCTTGACAGATCTTTCCTATCAAGTTACCCCCATCCTGAAAACGTATCGTGTGACCTAGAGGGAA